CACACTTCACCTCATAAATATGTATAATTATTATATGTCATTTAAAATAAAAGCTTACTGATAATTTAAAAAATAAAAGTATGGTACCTTCACTTTTGAAGTCTATTTTCACTGGGAAGTTTAGATTGGCAGTGATTTGCTTGCTTTTGTTTAACAGTGTTAAGTATTTTCTTCTGGTTTCTGTTTTTTCTTTTGAAAGATGATTGTTTATGTAATTGTTTCTTCTCCTTATGTTTTCCCTCTTATTCCTATTTTTAAAGATATTCTGTCTTGCTGTTGTTTTTAGCAGTTATCTAGGTGTGTTTCTTGGAATTCATGGTATTCTTTGAATATGCAGCTTGATATTTTCTTCAAGTGGAGAAAATCATCAGCTATTACAGTTTTGTCACTGATCATTTATATCTTTTGTCTCTCATCTTTAGTTCTAGGACTCTGATTTAAAGTCTGTTAGATCTTCCCATACTGTCTTTTTTTTTTTTTTTGGTACTGGGAATCGAACTCAGGACCTTGCCATGCAGGCGTTTATGCCACTGAGCTATATCCCGATCCTCTGATCTTCTCATACTGTTCTCTATGTTTTTTACCTTCTTTTTAAATATTTCTTTTACTCTCTGTTGTTCAGGTTGGATATTTTCTTCTAATCTATTATTTAGTGTACTTATTGATTCTTCGCTTTTGTCTAATATGCTGCTTCTTCCATGGAGTTAATTTCTATATATTTATGTTTCTCTAGTTTCCTGATCTTGAGTAAACTTCTAAATAATTTCCATGAATGTATCTTTACTTGTGGTTTAAAGTGTTTATTTCTATAGTCTATTTTCCTCCCCACATTTTAAGTGCTCATGTGCCTGATTATTTTGACTGGGTGCTGAATGTGGATATAAAATAGTATACATAAGGTTAGTCCTATATTGACACTGTCTCCTCTTGGTGACTCCTGCCACTTAGCTATACAAACCAGCAATTCAGTCTCATCTTACTCTACTTTCAAAGATTTAGATTACTTACATATGGGCTTCAGTCCCTTTGATATGTTTTCTACTTCTGTTTTGCTCTTATTTTTATGTGTCCTTACTCCTAGAGATCTTTGGGAGTTTAACCCACAGTACTGGGGTTTTGCCAGCACCAGTAGCAGTTCCTCCATTTCAGTTTGGGTCCTTCTGTCTCCACAAGGTTATCTGTGAGCACCGTTCGCAGTTGCTCAGCTGCTCAGCTGCTTAGCCATTTAGCCTGGAATAAGCAGATGCTGGTAGAGAAAACTGGCCCTAACTGTAGTAGTATTTTTCTGTACATCTATCTTCTCCAATATTGTGACCCTTTCATCCTTTCATGTCTTACTTGCTTCCAGTGCCTTCAAGCACTTTTAAAAATATTTTCACCCCCTTCTATCTGTCCTCAGCAGCAAGTTGTCCAGTTCTCCATTCTTAAATGTGACTTTAAAATGCCCTCTTCAGACGCCATTGCACTGATCTTTTAAATAATGAACCAGAATATACACAGTCAAATATTTACCTGTCAGATCATCTTTGGGAACTAGCTGTTCATTCTGTCATTTTACCATGTTGCAAAACATTTCAAGAACCTCTGATTTAAAGCCACTTTCTACTTTGTAAATTAGCCCCTTTCAATTTAATCTGATTACTTTTAAACTTCTATATATTCTCTCACTGCCCCCTATGTAATTTTTGTCATATATCTTAATCAGTACACATAGGCTTACAATTTTAGGCTATTTGGAAAATAATTAAATACATGTTATATAGAGAGTAGCTACTCATCCTTCCATACTTAATGAAACATGCTACAGTGAAACTTTGAAAAAAAGTTTCAAATTTTATTGAAAAATAAGAATTTTATTAGAGTGTGTATTGAGCCCCACAATAGTCAAATTTGAAAGAATGTTATATATTTGGATATGACAATATCCTTATGGATTAAAAGAAAATAAAACAATATTAGAGTCTTCTATTTTTAAAACTTTCAAAATCTCCATTTTCCTTCATCCTGGATCAAATAATGTAGAAAACAATCAACACCTGCAGTGTATTCATTTGCCAACACTTTCATTACTAAAAATATTTCAATTGTCTTTGAAACAGTGAATGCCTTTCACCCTTTGGCACTGTCAATTTTGTTTCATGTTCAACATAATGCCTTGGGGTCGAGAGAGTTCTCCGTCCATAAGGCCACAGATTGCAGCAGACATATGGCCCTGCACAGTTGCACATCTCTCACGTTTGGAGGAAGAGGCTTTTTTGCCTATTACCAGTAAGGCCCTCGGTGCCCTCGCAGCATTAGCATTCATCCCAGTCTGGATCTCCTCTCTGATCTGCCTCAGATGGATTGATTAGCTTTGATTAACACCAAGTCTGGTCCAGTTCTAAGTAACATGGAAAATGTTCATAGGCCTCTATAGTTTCCTAATCCCCTTATTACAGCTTCCCAGATAGGAGTCCACTTTGTTTCTGGATCACCGACAGTTCCATCTGGAACTGGCCACAGTTACAGGAGAGCATGCAGCCACGGATAATGCCACACCCCAGCATGCACTATGGAGCCCTGGGCCTGTTCACATGGTGTGTGGTGAGGCCCTAGGCAGATGTTCCTGGGTAGAAGCCTTAGTAAAAGGGCAGCTGTGCACACAGAAGGCGGTTGAAATTTCTACTGTTTGCTCTGCAGGCCCTTTTAGATTCTAATCTCCAATTTTCCCTATCTTGTAGCTCTCTGAAAATTAGAGAGTCAATTTTTAAAAATTGAATATGGGGGATTTATTCATACAAGTGCTAAAGGACAACCATTTCTACTGTGCCTGAAATATTTGGGGGGCTGTAGAGTGGCTGGAAAGAACAATGAGGATTTTTTTTCCCCTTCCTGAAAGAAAGCTTAATGCTAGAAGCTGAAACCATCCCTTTTCAGAGGGGAAATGCCTGCTTCCTGTCTGGGGCCTGATAGCCCTAGGCTATCTAAGGAGAGGAAAGGTTATTTCAAGTACTTGTGGACTTCTGCACTTGTATTTCCTGGGAAAATATTGTACCTCTTCAAAAATTTGACAGCCTCCACATGGCAGATGTTTTTACTTGGCCTTAGCTGAAAAGGCCTTACCTAAGTGAATTTTTTTTTTCAGCTTGAATTACCTGGTTACTCTGGCTATGATGAGCAGATTTAATGGAATTGTTACCACATCTGAACTTGATTTTTATTTCTCTGTGGACATGTTTTTTAACTCAAGCAAAGAATTATAAGCACATCCAAAAAAGACTCAATTTTTGCAAGCACATTTTGGGGCTGCAAGAGCCTATAAAGATTTCGAGGCCAAGTAGATCTATTCTCAGCGTGAAAGAAAATGTTCTCACATAAAAGGGAGGAAGAAAGGATGTAAACAGAGTACATACTTTGGTACAACAAGTCAAAACTCTGTGTGTGTGTGTGTGTGTGTGTGTGTGTGTGTGTTTAAAGGGTACAAATGTCTGTAAGAACAGTTTGAAGATGTCCACACTCCATTTGGGAAGCAGAGCAGGAAGCAGGCCTCTCCACTCCTGTCCTCCCCGCACCACTTTCAAAGGACCTGGACAGACTAGGGAGGGCGGCTCCTCTGGTTTGGCTCCACCCTCCCCATTCAGGCTGCCTGTTAGCTTCCCTGCTGACTGCTACTTTCTTTCATGGTGGCCATTTTCATGAGCATGCAAAGGTCACAGAGGTTAAGGAACACACAATTGTCAAGTTAGGTTAACTGCTGCAACAAACCACCCCAGCCCTCGGCGCCTTTATACAGGTTGATTTCTTGCTCACGCTGCATCCTGGTGACAGGCAGCAGGACACTCTACTCCCACTGTTTCATTTAGAGACTGAGGCTACAGACAGGGTCCCTGCAAACAGGGTGCACAGTGGAGAGGGTTAGGCTTAGAAACAGGGCTCCTTGTCTTTCTACGCACATTCTGTTGGCCAGAATCCAATCCCAGAGATGGTCCCGGAAACAAGGGGGCTGTGATCTGTAGACATGCTGTGAGCCCAGGAAGGACAGGGACACGGAGGGTGACTACCTTGCCACACTCCACTGTGAGCAGAAAAAAAAGTGGGTTGGGGGGACTTGTTTTTTGTTCCTCAAACTACAGAACTATGTGCAAAAAACATTTACATACAGATGCTCCCTTCAGCTCTTTTTAAAAATTTTATTTGATTTTCAATGGCATGCAAAGACACCTATGTGTTTTCAGTATTATGTAGAAGCAAAAAAAGCTCGACGTCATAAAGTAGAATGCAAACTCGTACTTGCCAGAGGCTGGGGAGAACAGAGAGGATAGGGGGAGGCTGGGTAACAGGTGCAAAATCTCAGTTAGACAGGAGAAATGAGTTCTAGTGTTTTCCAGTACAGTAGGGTGACTATAGTTAACAGCAAAGTATTAAATATTTAAAAATACTTTGCTCTTTTTCAAAGGGTTTGGGAAAGGTAGCTGTCTTTTAGGAAGAAGACTCAGAGTATTGGGACAAGAGCGCCTAGGCCATGTTTGCTGGGTCCCCTGGAGAAATAGAATCAACCCATCTACATTTAGACCTTGGCTTCCTAATGTTATCAGGTGATTCTGTGAGCATAAAAATAAAGCTGTGCTTTTTGGAAACGGAAAGTCTCATTATGTTTGAGGTGAGTCAGGAAAGGAAGTGAAGGGAAAGTATCTATTTTTGGGCTCTGCACACAGCTGAGGAGGCCAAGATGCCTGCCAGAGAGACGCAGCTGCAACGGCTGTCCATCCACCTGCACACGCAGCCGGTGCGGCTGAGTCCCTCGCCGCATTTCCGGTCCTCTTTTCTGAAAGTTATGAGAAGCTGAACCAATTTGACTGCATTTCCTAGGATGTTAAGTAGCCCTTGTATGATTCAGATGGATAAAATATTCCAGGTAAGAAAAACACTCAGCTACATAAAGGAAACTTCATCTAGCTTGCCAGATTTGACTTTCCTGCATTAAAACGCAGGCTATGAGTAGCAAAATATCTTGGACTTACCTCTAATCCTATTTACCCAGTCGTGGTGGTCCTTTGGTCATTTTTTAAGCACGTTCTAGCTAAATACTTTTGAAATATACAACAAGGACAGTTGCCAGGTACAGTAAACACTGGATGAAAGTGAAGTTACCAAGCACTATTTTATGAGTTCATTTGAAATGGTAACCGGGCAACAAGCTTGCTTTTGTCCAAGTGGATTGCACAGCCAGAATTTGCATTCAGAATTAATTTCTAAATGAATTTCTCAAAAACAAACGGTACTTCCAAGTAAATATTTAAATGGGCCATATCAGAAAATGCTCAGGGAGAAACACCCCCCACCCCACATACACATAAAAGAACTATATTGTTCTGGAAAAGAAACTTGCTAGAATTTCTGCAATTAAGCAATTTAAAATGAAACAAGGATTATGATTACTCTAATTTTATACATTAGGAGATTTGGCAACTTAAAAAAAAAAAGGAAGTGAACTGAATTATGTAGGTAGATTAGGGAGCAATAGGAATTTGCTGTTTCGACCAGTCAGGATAGGCAGAGGTTGATGGTCTTCATGTAGGCCCCGTCCAGCAGTCCACTTATTCACCACTAGTTAACCCCCTTCTCTGAGTCTGGTGCGTGGAGTTATTAAAGTAAGTGAAGCAGATGCAAGCCTGGACTCCTGAAGAGTAGGATCCAGACAAGGACAAAAGTGGTATCTTGCCACTTGAGGAGTATGGCGTAACCTGGGAGTTCATTTCTTTAGGCTATAGCCTCAGGAAGCTCACCAGAAAAAGTGACCTTAAAGCTGAATCCTAAAGAAAAGCCACAACTGCATAAGAGAAACTAACTTGAAGGAGCGCATGGCTTGAGAGATAATCCTTGTGTATTCTACGTTTTGTGCAGCATGATATCAAAATCAGAACATGGCACATTAGAGGAAGTTAAAGATGTCAGGAGGTAGAAAACAGTGGATAAGACCCAGAGGGGCAGGACGGAGAGAGGGGGGCAATAGGTAGATGAGAGGAGCAACGTTAAATGCTTGCTACAGAGACATAAAACATGTGTAACCAAAATAACAAAACAAGTAATATATATGTACACACTCATGTACAATGTATATGACACATACATAAATACATTTATACTCTATACATACATTCATATAGAGATCTCTACATACTTTTCCTTATATATGTGTATATACAATTACTTTTCTACAACAGTACATTTTGCACCTTATGAGCATTAGGCTGCTGACTGTCCTTTTTCTACATACTCTGTCTCCCTTTTAATGAACAAAATAAAAGGTCTGTTCAACTTGAACAACAAATGCACAGTTAAACATTGGGGCAGACATAGAAAGCAAAGGCAATTTGAAACTAAAATAAATGTCCTATCATAATCCCAGAAAAAGCTTTCACTAGAGATAAAATCCATGTTGGAAATTGTAATCGGTGTGAACAAACAAACAGTGCTTACTGAGTGTCTCTTATGCTTCTACCGTATACCAGTTAGTCAACTGGGGATAAGAAAAACAATATATTTGCTGAATGGATCAGTGAGAGACACAAACCTCTTTCCTTAACCTGTGTTGTGGTGATAAATCCAGAAATCATGAAGTGACTGGGAGTATTGAATAGTATGACAAGGCAGGACAATCAGAATACAGAACAGTTTAGTGTTTAAAATAAGCAGGCCATAAAGGAACTGATGATAGAACTGGGCCTTCCAGCAGGGATGGAAAATAGAAACGGATGAGAAAGTAGGACCCACGTTATGGAAAGAATATGAGCAGAGCCCATAAACAGGAGGGAGAAAGTACCCAGAAGAGTGGTACCATGGACAAGCAGCGTGTGTATGAAGAGGTCTGCAGGCCGTACACATTCAAAGGGCTTACGTACACCCTGTGTGCCTTCCCCTGGGCACAAAATAAGGATGAATCAAACCATGAGCTGCTAGGTTCCTATATTTAAGGAGAACAACTTACTTGAGGTGAATAAATATGAAAAACATGGAACCATTTAGAGCAAACATATACAAGAGGGCTTTTAAGACAGCAAGTTCTTGGAAGCAGGCACTGAACACTAAAGTTAAATTTTTAATACTGCACAATTTGAGTGAAAAGATCTTTTACAATTGCTTTGGCTAGAGATGCGGTAAGGATACTTTAGAATAATTCTCAGATTTTGAGCATGCAGATACTTAGGTAAGCGTCTCTGATCAAAAACATCTTACATGTATCAGTGTACCCAAGGTTATGATGTTTGTAATGGATAGTGCTTACTTGTTTGCTTCTTTGTAATAATGAATCATTTGGATTTCATTCCTTTTCTGGTTTTAAACAAGGAACTTTTGTGTGAAAGGGTAGTATCTGTTCTTTGTGGCACTTGGAACACACCCGCAGTTTCATGAGGTGGATGTAGATGCATCCAGGCAAATTTTCCTCTAGGGCTCTAAGATGCTGGTGGCAAAAAGCTATCCTGATGTCTCAGGCAATGAGGATAATTACCAGACATGTGTACTCTTAGGAGCATAGTGCTCTGGGCAAGTCTACCTCCCAGGGCACAGGGTTAATTAGTGTTTATTAAGTAGTTCAAAGACAAAAAAAGAGAGAGAAAGAGGACCCAGTACTGTCAGGGCTGGGAGGTGGCAGTTTTTCTTTTGTCTGGTTCCCACTTCCTTCTGGCATCCGGGCTCTCAGACAACCTTCCGCCACTCTGTGGCTTTGGCTGCACCTGGAAACCCTTAACTTCTCTGACCCTTTTCCCTCTGTTTCTAGATTTGAATTCCACAAAAGAGACACCATGTTAGACTTCCTTGACCTCCTTTCAGTAATACAGTTACTGTTTTGAGAGTACCTTGATACTCTCAAGTACTGAGCGAGGAACATTCACAGACGTTATTTCATCAGCTGAGTGTAAAAATACCAGGAGCCAAGGTGAGGATGGTTAAGTAACTTGTTCACGCTTATTCAGATTTTATTCCATTTGGCTGTAATGTCCTTGCTATTTCTCTTCTTTTTGTTTCTTTTTTTTGTTTCCTTGGTCTTTTTTTGAGACAGGGTCTCACTATGCAGTTGAGGCTGGCCTTGAGCTCACTTTATAGCCCAGGCTGCCCTCAAACTTGAAACAATCCTCCTGCCTCAGCCTCCCAAGTGCTGGGATTACAGGCATGCACTACCATGCCTGGCTCTTCTTTCTATTTCCTTATCAATTCCCTGTGGAGGCTGGATTAATAGTGAGGAATCTGGTGAAATTTGCAGCACTTTCACACAAGTCAGTATCAGTAGTTACCAAGGGAGAAAACTTCAGAAACTACTTTTGGATGACATTGGCAACACAAGGTTTAACTAAACAGTCAGTGATGGTTGTCTTTACTGGGCAGTTTTGTGGGATAGCAAACTCCTGTATTTATTCTCCTGCCCCCATAAGTCATCCAGTCATGCAAAATTTACACTTTTATTGGCTCAGATGTCATTTTCTAATGATTTGATAGGTCAGCAGATAGAAGCGCTCTGTGCTCCCAATGACACTACTTAAGCCTGGACCGGTCTGTGGGCTGGTGAATCTTTTCCATAGTAGAGATAAGCTTGAACTCTTCTAAGTGTATTCATTTTCTAACATGTATTCTGTTTCTACCTCCCAATTGTTATAGGAATGAAAATAGAAGTGCTTCAAGTATTATGGATTTGGAGTTTAAAGCTAGTGAGAAAGAAAAATAAATGTCAATAATATTTAGACCACCAACATAAACTTTTTCTGACACTCATAGTTGAAATTAATAGCTTTACCACCAACGTGAGACAAAGTTTAAAATAAAACACTTTTCAGAGGGTTGAGTTTTGCTGGGATTTTCCTTTTATTTGATCTGCTACGTTCATATGCCAGTAGCTTCTGGACAGAGAGTAAATATTAACAAAGACATGACTGCTATCTGGTAGCATCATATTTTTATTTTTAGTGATATAAAATAACAGGTAGAGTGAAAGATGTAATGATGCCCTAAAGTGTAAATACATTGTTTTACACGCATTGATGCTGAAGGAAAAAATAAGATTGTCTCACCGGTGACCAGTGTGTTACTCAAGACAGAATTAACTGACAAGACTCTGTCCATTGCACTGGATGGCAATGTTTGTCTTTGCAGTAAGAAGTCTGCCAAATTTACTCTCTTCCAATTCTCTCCTCACAGTCATTTAATGAACCTCATAAAAGCTAACATCCCAATTTAGCTGTTACCTCCCTTGTGCTCCACTAAGAAAACAGATCTTGCAATAAAATAAATATGCAGAAGGACTCGGAGCAAAGGTATATTCTGTATATGATTTTAATAAAAACATGTTTTACTTTGTGAGGGGGAAAAAGTGATAGCCTAAAAATATGATACAGAAACATATGCAGACCGTTTGCCTCAAATACAGAATCATGATATTATCTCAAATCACCACCATTTTCTTCCATCAGTTATGTTTAAGATGAAGTTTATCACTGAAGCAAAGGCAGAACATGTATCACAAGAAGATGCTGACATTTTCAACAGGCTCTATTAGAACAACGGCAGAGATATTTGGAAACTGTGGTGTTAATCTTGACTGTGAACTTAAGTATACTGAGGAACACCTAAGATATTAGTTGAAGCGTGTTACTGCGCATGTCTGTGGGTGTTTCTAGAGATGACTGCATCATGGAGCACTGACTTCATCAGTGGAGTAATCTGTTGATGAAATCCTCATTTTATAGCCTTATTGAGAGATGCTGGAAATACGAAGTGATGCCTGGTTGGAGAGACTGAATCAGGATGTTGGGAACTATACCTGGCTCCAGGATCCTTCGCTGCCATTCTATTTGCTCTACTTTCTGACTGCCATGAGCTTTCCTCTACCATGACGTTTCTGGGTTGGAGCTAGCTGACCATGGACTGAACTGGTGAAGTGATGAGCTAAAGATAAACCTTTTCTCTTTAAATTGAGTGTCAGATATTTTGTCCCAGCAATGGAAAAATGACTAATATAGAGCAGAAATAGTATGGTGAAATTCATGCAGATGGAATTTCTGTTGTTTTCCTCCATGGTACCCACTGCATTAGTGAGTGGAGATACCTATCCATTTCATT